CCAGCTACTTGGAAGGCTGAGGCAGAGGGAATACCTGGGCCCAATAGGTTGAGGCTGTAGTGGCCTTGAGTGTGCCACTACATTACAGCCTAGGCAACAGTGAGTCTCTGACTGAAAAAAAAAAAGAAATAAAATCAGAAAATGAAAATATATTTTAAAGTTCTTTTAATTAATTTTCAACTAAAATAATCTTTTGAATATCACCAACTTTATGCAGTGTATTTTCACCTGCATAATCTTCCTCAGAGTTCTTGAGTCAGAGTCTCACTGGGTTACCCAGGCTGGAGTACAGTGACACAATTGTTGTTTGCTGGAGCCTCAGCTTCCTGGGCTGAGTAGCTGGGACTACAGGTGGTTGCCACTACACCTGGCTAATTTTTGTATTTTTTGTAGAGACAAAATCTCATGTTTTCCAGACCTGTCTCAAATTCTTGGGCTCAAGTGATCCTCCTACCTCAACCTCCATAAGTACTGGGTTTATAGGTCTGTACCTGGCCTTAGACACTTTTTTAGTGGTCAGTTAATATCTGAAGCAATGTCAAAGTTATCCCAAATAAGAAAAAGTCCAAGGAGTTCATTAATTCAGTTATTCAATAAATATGACTGCCTGCTGTGTTCAGTTACAGAATGGGGACTTTACACATAGAAGTTAACAAGTCCAGCCTCTACTTTCCCAGGGAAGTTGATGGCATAATCATAAAAACCTGATCCATAGTTTGAAACATCTTTTGTCAGACTCTGTTCAGCACAACCTACGCATCTTCCTAATTTTTACAATGATAAGAGTCACCCCCTTTTTATTTTTATTTTTTATTTTTTTATTTTTTGAGTTGGAGTCTCACTCTGTCGCCCAAACTGGAGTGCAGTGGCTGCTCCCGGCTACTGCAGCCTCAACCTGCTGGGCTCCGGCGATCCTTCTGCCTCAGCCTTCCGAGTAGCTGGAATTACAGGCGTGTGCTACCACGCCTGGCTGATTTTTTGATTTATTGTAGAGATGAGGTCTCGCTGCCCAGGCGGGTCTCGAACCCGCGGGCTCGGGCAGTCCCCTCACCTCACCCTCCCAAAGGCACGGGGTTACAGGCTGAGCCACAAGCCCGGCTCACCCCCTTTTAAAATAGCATTCCTCCAGTTTGTTACAGTAAAATAAAATCCATACTACTGTCACCTTTTATTCAACTTGAGATCTGAATGCTCAAGTCTACTTTAGTTTAAACTGCAATAACCTACTTTTTTTTTTAAAAAAAGCTATTTTTATTGGCTGGGCATGGTGGCTCACTCCTGTAATCCCAGCACTTTGGGAGGCCAAGGTGAGAGGATTACCTGAGCCCAGGAATTTGAGACCAACTTGGGCAACATGGCCAGATCTTGTCTTTCCAATGAAATTTAAAAAATTAACTGGCCATGGTGGCTTTCACCTGAAATTCCAGCTACTTAGTAGAGTGAGGTGGGACTGGGCTCAGTGGCTCAGCCTGTAATCCCAGCACTTTGGGAGGTCGAGATGAGTGGATTGCCTGAACCCGCTGGCGAAAATGGCCCGGGCAGCTTGGGGAGACCTCATCTCTAAATAAAAAATTAGCCAGGCATGGTAGCACACGCCTGTAGTTCCGGTTACTTGAGAGGCTGAGTGGAAGGATTGCTGGAGCCTGGCAGGTCCATGCTGCTGTGAGCGTGCCAGTGCATTCCAGCCTGGGTGATGGAGTGAGACTCCAACTGAAAAAAAAAAAAAAGAAGACTGAGACAGAAGAATTAGCAGTAGGTCTGATTATGCCACTGCATTCCAGCCTGGGTAACATAGTGAGACTCTGTCTCAAAAATAAAATTCTGGGGCAACCCTTTCATGTCCCTTCCCACTGTGGGAACTTTTTGTCCTCTCAGTAAATTCTGCTTTCTACAAAACAAACAAACTCTGAAAAGTCTACTTAAGTTTAAACTCCAATCACCTATTTTTAAAAAGTTATTTATAATCAGTCTGGGCAGGGTGACACTTGCTTGTAATCTTAGCACTTTGGAAGGTCAGGGTGGGAGAATTGCTCAAATCTGAGACCAGCCTGGGCAACATAACAATACTTTGTCCCAACTTCTTGGGAGGCTAGGGCAGAAGCATCATTTAAGCCCAGGAGGACAAGACTGCAGTGAGTTGTGATCACACAACTGCACTCCAGGCTGGGCAACAGGTTGAGACTCAGACTCCAAAAACAAAACAAATAAAAAGTTATTTGTATCACACCATAACAATCATTATGTTAATATTAAGTCTTCTTCCTGAAAGAAGTATTGATCTTCTTAATAGTTAAATATTCTTTTTTTTTTTTTGAGTTGGAGTCTCACTCTGTCGCCCAGACTGGAGTGCAGTGGCCGCTCCCGGCCACCGCAGCCTCAACCTGCTGGGCTCCGGCGATCCTTCCGCCTCAGCCTTCCAAGTAGCCGGAATTACAGGCATGCGCTACCACACCCGGCTGATTTTTTGATTGATTGTAGAGATGAGGTCTCGCTGCCCAGGCGGGTCTTGAACCCGCGGGCTCAGGCAATCCACTCGCCTCAGCCTCCCAAAAGCGCGGGATTACAGGCTGAGCCACCAAGCCCGGCTTAGTTAAATATTCTAACCCGGTGTGTTGCCTCAAGCCTGTAATCCCAACACTTTGGGAGGTGGAGGCGAGAGGAATACTTGAGCTCAGGGGTTCGAGACCAGCCTTAGCAACATGGTGAGACCGGGTCTTCACAATAAATAAAAAAATTAGCCGAGCATGGTGGTGTGCACCTGTGGTTCCAGTTACTTGGAAGGCTGATGCAGAAGGATTGCCTGAGCCCAGCAGGTCGAGGCTGCAGTGGCCATGAGTATGCCACTGCACTCCAACCTTGGTGACAGAGTGAGACTCCGACTCAAGAAAAAAAAGTTAAATATTCTATAATGAAAATGTTAGTATTTATGTATAAGATGGCAAGGTTTTTGTTCATAAGGTATTATGAAGAAAGTTGGGTAATGTTTCATTACTAGTATATGCAAATAACTCGTCATTTCTCTAACACAAGACAGTAAATTCTATCTCATGCCTGTAATCTCATTACTTTGGGAGACTGGGACAAGATGATTGCCTGAGCCCAGGGTTTCAAGACCAGCCTGGGCAACTTGGTGAGACCTCGTCTCTACAATAAATCAAAAAATTAGTTGGGCTTGGTGGCATGCGCCTGTGGTTCCAGCTACTTGAAGGCTGAGCTAGAAGGATCAAGTGAGCCCAGATGGTCACTGCTGAGGTAGCCTTGATTGTGCCACTGCACAGCAGCCTGAGTGACAGAGTGAGACTCTGACTTAAAATAAGAAAAAATACAACAACGTATATCCATCTGAAGAACTTTAAATGTAATTACAGCCAATGTCAATATTTACTGCTAAACCTTTTCTTGTAAGTACAGAGTTTTTAATATTTCTAATTTAAGTGATCACCTACTCATTTACTTATCTGTAATAATTTTATTTTTTTCAACAAATGTCTCTATTTTATTGTTTCTTGACCAAAAGAGGACTCCTGTTTTTTTTCTTTTTCAGTCTGTAATTGATTAGGTTTTCTGTTTAATTTGTGCAAGTTCTCGTTAATTTTTTTTTTTTACTTAATTTCTTTTAGAAACATGTCATTCAGGTTTATCAAAAGGTAGGATTTATATATACACATTTGTTTTTCAATCCTCACCCTGAAATGGCTCCTGCAATTAACATCAGGTTTGGCTTTCTGGCCCTGTTTTTCCTTGAAAACTAAACTTTCTGCTGAGAACTAAATACTTGTTTCCTTGAAAGGAAACTGGAAAGAAATAGATGAACTCTGTGAGGCATTTTAAAGGGATTGTGGCACCCATGCAACAAAAGACCCTGCATGCTCTGTGCATTTCCTTCTTGGGTAGAATTATTTAGCATCCAAATAATTCTGTCTTCATACTAATAACACTTAGCATGCTCCTGTTTGAAGAATGAGATGCTCAGTAACATTAATGTACAACTAATGATTAGCCATAAGCATGTAAAAGGTAAGTGGTAATTGTGTTATTCATTTTTTCTTTGTTGTTTTTTAAATTTCACTGAGGATTGAATTAGCAAAAGGCTTTAAAATGACAGCTAAGACTCTGATGCTGGAAACAAGCATAAAATTCAGACCTGCAGCTTCATTTGGTTTGACTGTTTCAGAAATAAAATATAAGCAGCAGCATAGCAGAAATTTTAAAATATTTTTAGAGGGTTGAAGAGTAAATAGTGTTTTATCTAAAAGTTATTTTCCAGCAACCATTGAAGAAAGCATGTTTCATTGTTCTTAAGGAACTACAGGAAATGGATTTGATTAATATTTTAAATGAAATTTTATTCATATAATATGTATTAATATTTTTATAATTAATTTCACAGTTAATATAATAGTATTTTTGATGACAGTCAAGAGACCAACAATGGTGCTGTCTTGGAATGCACGTGTGTGAGGCAGGAAGTCTGCCACTGACGGCCTTATTGTGCCTGGTGTCTCAACCACAGTGGTTTTTTCATGTTTATGAAACCAATGGGTCACTGCAAGGCTTTGTTGACATGAGCTCTTTATCAGAAACTGTGGGAAAAGTGCTTTCTTCCTGTTGGAAATTCCGTTCTGCGATTATTTTTTAATCTTCCCAGTTGTCTGGTTTTTCCTTGGACAGAAAATGTCATCATTGAATGTAGAATTCAACTGATAGGCTCATTTCCTTCTTGGTGGAAACTCAGTACACGGTGGGAGGCTGGGGAGCCTGCTGTGTGTGTGAAGCCTGTGAGTGCGGGTGCCGGTGGGCGTGCAGTCCGCCTGCCCTGGGCTGCACCAGGTGGAGATGCGTCGCGGCTGAGTCCAACTTGGAGGAGAGTTTTCATAAGCCAGTGGTGACCAAGATGCACTCTGACGTGCTCGTGTGTTGCTGTGTGGGGTTTGCGAACTGTGTGTAAGATTTCTTTTCTCTTTTCCACTTCTCTCTGCTTCTGCATTCTGTCCGCTGAGGCTTCCAACTGAATATGAGAGGAACGGGAGATATGAGGGCTCCAGGTGAGGGAAATGATTTTTACTTGAAATCCCTTCTGTGTGTTTGCCTCATTTCTGTGGCAGAGGTGATGTTATTTTCTGAATGCCCTGTATCATATTCCTGTTGTCAGTGTAGGAGGATTTAGTGAGGTCAGCCTGGCAGAGAGTAGTTGGGGTGTGGGGTGCATCAAGTACACTGCGAGTTTGCTGCTTGCTGCTGCTGCCGCTGCCTCCTGTAAGGCCCCAGGCAAGGAGGCTGCATCACACTGGGGTGGCCACCTGAGGGTGCCAGCGTGCCACCAGAGCTTCTTGATCCCAGCTTGGCATGGGCTCTGCGTTTGTTTGTGTATTAAATGCATGGCAGCGCCTTCAGCCTTCCTGCCGAGGCATTAGCCTGAATGGAGTCTTGAAGGCCTGGGATCAGTAGCTGTGCTCAGAGCAGTAAGCCCTCAGCATATCATGGACTTCTCACATGGTTCTACTCTCAAGAAATAGAAGCAAAATATGTAGTGAAATTATTATGTTTCAAACTAGATGTGTTTTCTAAGAATAATGATTATATAGACGAGTGCCCTGCTTTCCACATTTGTATAGCTATCTTCCATGGATGTGGGGCGGTAACCAGGCAGACTTAGGGCTCTGTGTATCCTTGGTCTATGTCCCTTCACTTGTTCTCTTTTATATACCAGCACCGTCAGGCTATTTCTTCTTCTTTTTTTTCTTTAAAAAGAAAATATGAGACAGTTCTTGCTGTGTTGCCCAGGCTGATGTCCAACACCTGGGCTCAAGTGATCCTCCTGCCTGGCCTCCCAAAGTGCTGGCATTACAGGTGTGAGGCACGGTGCCTGACCAGTCACCAGGCTAAGGTTGTTGTGAACCCATTTGTTCTCTGCTTGGTCTTTCTGAAGCATAGCTCTGATCATATGACTCTTCTGGGTGAAAAACTACAGTGGCCCCTACTGCTTCACCCGCCACATCCCTGCAAGGAGGCCCTCAGTGGGTAGTACAGATCAGGGAGCTGAGCAGCCCAGCTCTCCTGCCCCATTCAGGCAGAGTGTTAGGGTGAGCTCCAGACAGCATTCACACCCTAGGCCGGCCGGCCCCAACTGGAGCAACTCTAGCTGGTGTAGCATGTTTCCCCACCCATTGAAAGGACCGCCCTCCTAGTAGCCGAGAAGGCTGGTCCTGGCTACGGCCGGTGTTCAGTAAATGCCAGTAGCTGTTGTGGGGGTTTAAAACACTGTGTCTTCAGTTCTAGTCAGTTTGTACACTTTAGTGTGTCCCTATGTGCATTCTATACTTGCCTTACCTCCTTAGCCTTGACTATGATTCCATCTGCTCAAACAAAAGATCCATTCCGCATTTTCGTTGTATTTTTATGAAATCCCATGGGCTCCTCTCAGATGCACCCCCAGTCCCCCTGCCCTCCCCTCCCCCCCAATCCTAGCGATTTACTCCTGGTCCCACCCTGCCTGTCACGCATTTTTCCCACTGGGTGTGCTCTTCTCTTTCCTGTGACCCTCTGGTGGCCTGCCACACCTTTCCTGTGCTACCTCTCTTTCCTTACCTTAGTTTTTCTGGCTCCAAATTAGTTTGAGAACTGTTGCTCATTTTTGCAACCTATTTGGTCTCTGATACAGCATTTTATTGAAAGAAAACTTTGAATCAATTTTGGTGGATATGAACCAAATTGAATATCCTACTAGCAGTTTGGTGTCATGTCATGGAGAGCTAAGATGAATTTTCTGTAGGGTGGAGTATACTAAACATATGAATACTGATTGTTTTTATTGCCCAAAGTATGTTAGGTTCTCAGCAGTGTTCTTTTTTTTTCCCTTTGAATTGGGGTCTTACTGTGTCACTCAGACTGGAGCATAATGGCACAAACATGGCTCACTGCAGCCTTGACCTCTTGGGCTCAGGTGATCCTCCTGCCTCAGCCTCCTGAGTAGCTGGGACTACAGGTTTGGCCACCACACCCAGCTAATATTTTTATTTTATTTCTTGTAGTGATGAAGTCTCGCTCTATTGCCCAGGCTGGTCTCTAGCTCCTGGACTCAAGCGATTCTCCTACCTGGACCTCCCAAAGTCCTGGGATTACAGACATGAGCCACTGCACCCACCCAACTCAGTGTCTTAATTGAGGCCACTAGATACATGTGTGGGAATGTAAATAATGACTGTGGCAATGATTACTAAATGCCAAGGAACATCTTGTAATCTGTGGGGTTCCCAGTAGTCCCGGGCCTGGGCCTTACTCTTGCTTCCTTGTGGTCATCTGGGCCAAGACTCACACTCTCCGTCCACACGGTGTGCAGATGGGTGGCTTCAGTCCTCTGCAAGGAAATAAAGCTATGACATTTCATTTTTCCACCTATTTCAGTGGTAAGATTATAATCTAAGATTTTTGTTTTTTCTGTGTAATTGGAAGTTTACGTTAATGAAACAGAAGGAAAGCCAGTGAGGTGGTTAGAGGTGACTGAGAAGACGCCCCTCCAACCTGGCAGTGCTCAGCATTGGGAGCAGATGCAGGGAAAGCAATTGCAGACCATGGATTTTTAGTCCCAGGTTGTCCCGATACCAGTAAGAGCAGCCACATTAGAAAGAGCACAAAGCATAACAGGAGAGGGAGCAGGGCCAGAGCAAGCAGCAGGGGCCTGACTACTGCCTCCCTCCCTGAGCTGGGCCTGTGAGCCCCGAGCAGAGCAGCAGGGCTCTCTCTCGGCTTAGCCTGCTTTCCAGGAATTCTGCTTACCTTCTGGTTCAGGAAGTACAGGCGGCTGGTGTAGGTTTTTCATGTGTGGCTTATGATTTCTGCATAGTGAGAGAAGAAAATATTTGAAAGGAAGGACCTTAGCAAGGACCAGGTGAGTCTGCAGGAAAACGGGTAGGTCACTTGTTCCCTGTGTTGTACTGAACATGTGGATTATGAGCTAGCTAAAGTAGAAAAGGTTGATTTTCCTGTGTAATTAAAAATAAACCTGCCATGTACATTTCAGTCGCAATGTGTCTGCTGAGCAAAAGGATGACAGCAGAGAAGCCAAGCCTCGTTCGCTGCGCTTCACTTGGAGCATGAAGACCACTAGTTCCATGGACCCCGGCGACATGATGCGGGAAATCCGCAAAGTGCTGGACGCCAATAACTGCGACTATGAGCAGAGAGAGCGCTTTTTGCTCTTTTGTGTCCATGGTGACGGGCATGCTGAGAACCTGGTCCAGTGGGAGATGGAAGTCTGCAAGCTGCCAAGACTGTCTCTGAATGGGGTCCGGTTTAAGCGGATATCGGGAACATCAATAGCCTTCAAAAATATTGCTTCGAAAATTGCCAATGAGCTCAAGCTGTAACCCAGTAATTATGGTGTAAATTAAATAACAATTAAAGTGCTTTCCCAAACACTGATGGAAATGTATAGAATAATATTTAGGCAATAACGTCTGCATCTTCTAAATCATGATATTAAAGTCTGAGGACAAGAGTATGTCCGGGAGCGAAAGCTGGCCTTTTTTCTACAAATGCACTACATTAAAGATGTGCGACTTGTGCACCCTGTCCTGTTTGCATTGCCCTGAGAGTCAGCGTGTACCCATCTTCATGTGCCTCCCCCTGCTGGGTGGGTGTGAGAGTGGACGGTGTGTATGTGATGTAGTGTGTGCGGAAGCATCTCCCTACACTAGCACTAGCAGCCAGAGTTGTTACTAGGGCCTCTGTGGGAGATCATCTGGTGCTAAATATAACAATTGCCAAGGAGGAAAATACTGAATTACTGCTAAGACTTAACCTTAAGACTAGTTGATAATTAATACAGGTTTACAGCTCATGCCTGTGGTTTTGTGTTTGTTGTTTCGTGTTTTTTTTTAGTGCAAAAGGTTTAAATTTATAGTTGTGAACATTGCCTGTGTGTGTTTTTTAAGTAGATTCACAAGATAATTAAAAATTCACTTTTTCTCAGTAAAATCTCGCATTGTCTCCTAATGCTGTATTTAACCCCAGATTAAGGCAGTTACTGAAAGGATGTGTGTTTACCTCCATCCGCAAGTTGAACAAAAATGGAGGAATGCATATGAAAGCTTGGGGCCGCTTGGTCCTTAGCATGATCCAAACATTTTCTGATTACTAGCCTGTTTTCTCCCCCAGAGGCAAGAAAGGGAGAAGACAGCCCTCCTGGTGACCTGAGAAGGAAAGGAATCGGGGGCATCTGCAGCTTAACCCCCAGGAGCCGTGGTGCACCCCTGTGGAGAAACGCCGGGTCCTGACAGTTCTGGGTTGGTTCTCTATGAAGTATGTACATTTCTTCATTCCTTTCCTGCGATTCAGTACATGAATCATACCTGCAGCTTTCTCCTAACATGTATGAGGTTATGTAGAGGGTTTATAAACTCTTCACTCAGATGATGCTTATTCTCACAGGGGAATTGTCACATTGGTTGGTGTGCTGTTTGGGGTTCTGGGTTTGTTGTTGGTCAGAGTATGAAGGTCTAGACAGACAGTCACTTATTAAGTCATAGATATTGTTGTCTACTACAGGCAGTTCTAATTGTTTGGGATGCATCTGTGAGCAAAATCCTATGGCCTTAAAGCTGACATTCTAACTGACAGCGGATAAATAAGTCAGTTACCCAGTATGGAACATGGACTAATGTAGTACAAGAAAGCACAGTGCAGGCATGGGGTTTGTGAACACAATGAGTGTGGCTAGGGCTGCTTGGGCAGAGACCTGGGTGGGGGGCATCTATGTGGATATCTGGGAAAGAGAATTGGGGGGGCCTGAGGCCCAAGTGCAATGTACTTGGAACAGAGTAAGGAGATACCATCTTCTACTTGGAGCTGTTAGGGGATCTGACAAGGGTGGTGTGGCCTCAGGCTGTCAAAGAATCACCCAGGCAGCTACCTTTTAGATTCATCCGAGGGGAGCAAGAAGCCGGAAGAGTCATGTGGAGGCTCTGGTCACAGAAGGTGATGCTGGCTCAGGGAGGGTGGACCTGGAGTGGACAGTGGTTGGATTTCAGATGTGTTTGTAAAGATGAGGCAATTGCATTTGTCCTTGGGTTGAACATTGGGGTGAGTGAGAAAGAGAGGCGCCAAGGGCAACTTTCTGACCTCTGGTCGGAGCAGCAGTAAGGCTGGGAATGCTGTTAATTGAAATGGGGAAGGAGGCTGGGGAGATTTTGGGGGCAGGATGGGAGGCAGAGCAGGACAGCAGGCTGAGACATGGTGAGTGTGAGGTGCCTTTAGACACCGAGTGGCGACATTGAGAGGGTTTAGAGAGGTCAGATGTGGGAGAGACACGGAGTCCTCAGCAGGCGGAAGGAGGAGACAGGATGGACTGAACCCTGGACACAGCACAGACAGAGGCCCCAGGAAGAAGAGACAGAGTGGCACACAGAAGTCCCCTCGAGGGGTCAGTGCAGATGGCTGCTTGCCTTTTATCCTGATAGTGAAGCACCTCATGCCACCGTGCTGGAAATTTCAAATGTGCCTTAAGACTCCAACTCAAAAATAAAAAAAAGTCCCCTTCTCCTCCTTCCCTCTCCATTTCTGGTGCCTTTGGGGGTGAAGAGCTCCAACAGCTCAGTGTGCCCAGCCACAGGCCAGATTGGGGCTCCTGTGACTTTTGTGCCTGATATTAGCTGTTTTTTACATTCTATTAAAGCATCACAAGGCCAACCAGGGCAAGAGGAGTGGGCTCTCTCCATGCACACTTGAGCCTCTTCGAGGAGGTCCACACACAGACTTCTCCCCCTTTGGTGTCCTTGTCTGTCACTGTCCCTTCTGCTGGGCAGAGCCAAAGGGAGGACATTCTGCCATAAATTACTTCCTCCTCTAGGCAGATGCTTCTGAGTTGTTCTGTGAAATCCATGTCTATGAGACTGTCTTCCTTCCCTGCCCCAGGCCAGGCTCGGTGGCTCAGCACTTTGGGAAGCTAAGACAAGTGGATTGCCGGAGCCCATGGGTTCGAGACCAGCCTGGGCAACTTGGCGAGACCTTGTCTCTACAATCAGTCAAAAATTAGCCAGGTGTGGTAGCGCACACCTGTAGTTCTGGCTACTTGGAAGGCTGAGGCGGAAGTATTGACAGAGCCCAGCAGGTTGACGCTGGGGTGGCTGTGAGCATGCCACTTCACTCCAGCCTGGGCGTTGGAGTGAGTTCCAACTCAAAAGATAAATAAATAAAAGGCTACGTTACTAATTGATGTTGGTTTGATTTTAGTGGCAACACGAGTAGTAGTCCCTTTACCAAGGTTAAAATGTGAAAACTCATCTGTTGCTAAGGGGCTCATTCCCTTTCCTTAGATTCTGTGTTTTCAGGATATGACTTTTATTCTGTATACATTGAATTTTTAATTTTTATTTTTTTGAGTCCGAGTCTCAATCCTTGTTGCCCAGGCTGTAGTGCAGTAGTAGCACAATCATGGCCACTGCAGCATCAACCTGCCGGGCTCAGGCGATCCTTCTACCTCAGCCTTCCAAGCAGCTGGAACTACAAGGCATGGGCCACCACGCCCGGCTAATTTTTTGATTTATTGTAGAGATGAGGTCCCGCTGGATTGCCCAGACTGGTCTTGAACCCCTGGTCCCAGGCAGTCCTCTTGCCTTGACCTCCTAAAGTGCTGGGATTACTGGCTTGAGCCACCGCGCCCAGCCTACACTGAATTTTAAGAAGGAATATTGTAGATGAACTGAAAATCTTGAGAAGCCACATTTTTTTTCTCATCTGCTCCTCTGAAATCGTTCAGAGTTAAAGTGAGGCACCTGGTGGGGCAGTGCAACTGGTTTTATATACCAAACAAACAGAGGTTGTCCTAATCCTAAAAATAATATTCTAGTGAATGCTGACTTCACTCTCATCCAGATCAGGCAAATCGGGGAGCAGATCCACCTTCCTACAAGTGAATGATGTGCCTGGCTCTCAGGATGCCCTTTTGTTTCCAAAAGTGAAGGCCCATGCAGAAAACTGTTACGGAAACATGGCTAACATTTACGAGCAGCGCTGTGATGATTTGCATAGAACATGTTTCCCCAACAGCCAAGGCAGTGATGATGCTTAAAAACCTCCACATGTGCATATGTGAACAGACTGCCTTAAATGAAGATGTAAAAGGCCAGCTGCCGTGGTTCATGCCTATAATCCCAGCACTCTTGGAGGCCAAGGCAGGAAAGTTGCCCAAGGCCAGGAGTTCAAGACCAGCTTGGCAACATAGTGAGAACTCACTCTATGAAAAGAAACATGAAGTAAAAAAGCCTACTTAGAAGACTGAGGTGGAAGGATCACCTAACCCCCCAGCATGTCGAGGTTGTGGTGCCTGTGAGCATGCCTCTGCACTCCAGCCTGGGCGACAAAGAGTGAGACTCCAACTCAAAAAAGTTAAATTAATAAAGGTTTCTGTTGGGGGGTTGATCCAGTCTGCAGATGCCACCCCAGGAATGGGACTGCCATTTTTTCTTTTGCACTTCCCATTGCAACCAATAAAGGCCATTCCTACTGTTAATTAATTACCGTTGCTACAGAAACTGGGCAGCTTCTGCTCAGTGAGTGCCTGTAGGGTGACTTTCATCTCTGCAGGGCAGTTTCCATTACCAGGGGTACAGCACCACGTAGAAGCATGAGCAGGAAGAGAAGCACTGTCCCTTGGTCAATTTCAGACCAGAGGGACAGCAAAATGAGGAAGGGCTTGGATTGGAGAGTTCAAACTTTGCTTTTTTTTCCAGGTTTTGTGTTTGATTGCTAGTTGGCCTTGGGATCCTTTAGACGGCTCATGGGCCCAACTTTAAATGGGGGGTGGACATTGTTGCTCTTCAAGGGGGTGAAGTGAAGGACTTGCTTAGGGGGTATTCTGACAGTGGACAGGTGAGTCAAGGTGTGACTCCATGCCCATGAGTGACTTAGGTGTCCTTGCCAGCCAAAGAGGAGGAGGACAGTCCAACAACATTTTAATAGTTACTGATTTTGTAACTTTAGAAGACCAAAAGCCAGGAAGAGTTGACATTTCCTCAGAGGCAGTTCTTGTTGGGTAGTGTGGCAGACGGGTCACAGGAGACATTTGGAGTGCTGCGGTTATGGGAAGTCTGAGGACAAGCCTGGCACCTGGCCTGTCTGCTGTCCCTAGGAAGGGACAGTCATAGGGTGAGGAAGAGCAATTCTAAGGACCAGATGGGTGAGTTAGGAGAAGCGAAGAGGGGGGGTGGTGCAGGTGCCTAAGGCCTTTCTTCTTGCCTGGGCCACACTCAAAGAGGAAACCAGATTGCCAAGGTGGCTCTAGGGAGTGGACGTGGCAGGGAGGTCTTTGTGAACTCAAAGAAAGCACTTTGCTAGGAAGTGAGCCCCTCGTTCGATTGGAGATGTTGAGCCTCTCCCCGCTGGTGACTGCAGCAGGGTGTGGGAAGCGGTGGAGGATAACTTTTGTTATCCTCCTGTGCAACCTGGTTTACTTCACCCAGACCACAAAGCCCTGTTTGAAAGTGAACTTGGGCCAGGGCATGGTGACTCATCCCTGTAATCTCAGCAACTCAGGAGGCCAAGGCGGGAGAATTGTTTGAGCCCAGGAGTTCAAAAGCCTGGGCAACAAGCAAGACTCTACAAAAAATTTAAAAATTAGCCAGGTGTGGTGACACCTATCTGTAGTCCTAGCTACTTGGGAGGGTGAAGTGACAGGGTTGCTTGAGCCCAGGAGATCGAGGCTGAATTGAACTATGATTGCACCACTGCACTCCAGCCTTGGCGACAGAGTGAGACCCCGTTTCTAAATAAGTAAAGTGTGACCTTGGCAGCCTAGTTTGCAGACTCTTGCTTTGTGACTGCAGGCTCAACCTTCTAGGTCTTCCTTAACTCTTCTCCAAAGCCAAGATGAGAATGACAGTGTCTGACTCTGGGTTGCTTGGCAGAGTATGGCATGTGGTGAGCAGGGCCCATGGCAGCTCACACAGACACAGGTCTTTAAGTGAAAAAAGAAAAACAAC